CTGGGCTGAGGTGGGCGACACACAACTAGCTAAAGGACAAGTTCCTGACATCAATCTCATGGGTCCGGAAATTATTCGGGAAACGACAGAGAAGATTTTTCAGATTCATGAACGATTGAAAGCCTCTAGAGACCGACAGAAAAGCTACGCTGACAAGAGACGGAAACCTTTGGAACTCCAGGTTGGTGATCTTGTTCTATTAAATGTCTCACCCTGGAAGGGCTTGATACACTCCGGAAAGTGTGGGAATCTAAATCCAAGGTACGTAGGGCCTTTTGAGATTCTCGCTAGGATCGGCCCTGTAGCTTACAAACTCAAACTACCTCAAGAAATTAGTAACGTACACCCTACCTTCCACGTATCGACCTAAAAAAGTGCCTATCCGATGAGACTCTTGTTATCCCACTCGATGAAATCGAGATAAATGAGAGCCTCAACTTCGTGAAAGAACTGGTAGAAATCATGGACAGGGAGGTCAAGCAAACGAAACAAAGCCGTATCCCGATAGTGAAGGTTCGCTGGAATACAAAGCGGGGACCTGAATTCACTTGGGAGCGGGAGGATCAAATGAAACTTATGTATCCTCATATTTTCCCTTAGTCTATGTGTATTTGCTTAAACTCTAATTTCGGGACGAAATTCCCTTTAACAAGGGGATGATGTGACAACCCGAAATTCTTATCTTGTAAAGTCAATCAAATCAATCAAAAGTTCAGACTTGTTTCTATTATATTTTACTGAGTTACGTGTCATTTTATAAGTTGTGGGCCTAGTACACTTAAGGGGTTGTGTGTTAGGAAGTGTTAGCAAGAGATCAATGGATTGCATTCGAGCCGCAAACTAGGTTCACAGCCGTGAACCCATCCTAGTGTCGTGAACTCATGTCATATATATTAGTTTTGGCTCATTTTCTCTTCATTTCTCATCCTCCATCCGTGATCATCCAATTTTTCTCTCAAGTATCTTCCACAAAAGGGTCTTCTTTCACTCCAAAAATGTGAGTACCTTATCCCTTTACTTGTTCATACTTGGAAACCCCTTTGATTCTATCATTGATTCATCACTTTTCATCATCATCTTCAAGATCTTCAAAGGTTCTGGCCACGAACCCTTCATCATTAGCCGTGAACCCTTCATAGATTCAAGTTAGGGCCGTGAACACTTTAAGTGTTCTTGGGCGGTGAACCACTCTAAGGCGTGAACCCTCATTGTTTGGTCGTGATCAAGTTTCAACCCCCCCCCCCATTTTCGATTCTAACACTTCATTGTATGTGTTTCCTACTTCCTAAGGTTGTTTACTTTGCATGTTAGTAGTGGCATACACTAATTGTAGGCCTGTATATGTTAACATATGCTAAATAGGATCTATTTGTGCTCGGGACTTCACTTGGCATACCAAGCATCCTACATCGAACTTTCATCTGAATCACTTACAGCAGGTGAGTTCATACCCCTACAAATACACTTTTAAAATGCTTTAAAATGCTTTTAGGGGGGTACAAGTAAAACACAATACAAATGTGTTAACCATTTACGTGTGAAAACAGTAAACAAAAGGATTTCTTATACTCAAAAACTTGTTAAAACTCTTTTAAACTATTTTAGACTTCTTTTATATCAAAATCATATTCGGCTATTTATTTACGTATAAGTATGCTTTAACGAACTTAGGACTACTGCTAAATACCTTGACTCCTGTTCCTTGTTTGGTTGTCGGCTTAGGGTAGGATCACTAGTTCGACTGTCGGCTAAATCATAGTCATGCTCATTAAATATATATATATATATATATATATATATATATATATATATATATATATATATATATATATATATATATATATATATATATATATATGAATCTTAAACCCATTTTTAAGGATCATACTTAACTTAGTTGCTTATGGTGAGTAATTAAGTCTTTTCTACAAATCAGAAACAGTCAAACAATCATACTAGTAAACTATAGTAGGTATAGTTTAGGGGATTACTACTTACTATTTCTAGATCAGTGAAACATACATGAGTCAGTTCATACATACTATAACTAGAACAGGAAGGAACATACATACTATAACTAGAACAGGAAGGAACATACATACTATAACAAGAACAGAAAAGAACATACATACTATAACAAGAACAGAACAACTAGAATGTGAAACACTACTTCATGGAATAGCAGTATACTTGTTGTGTCACGTTTTGTAACCATAGTCTCCTGGAGGGAGAGCGTGAGTTTGTGTATAGATCTATACGGGATTGACCATCCTATACCTTGCTGCTAGCTACAGTGGGACCTGCAGGTCTACGGGTGACAAATGTCATACCATTTTCGACGTCTGAAGAACGTCGTGTTTTATACTAGTCAATCAAGCATGATTATAACCTAATCACATTTTTAATCTTAATTAACAATTTGGTTTTAAGGTATTTAGTGCTTCAGTAGAGTATTTTTACACCACACTACTATACATCTTCATTTTCCGTTACATTCATACTGTGATATTCGCACATTGAGAAATTCAAACTATTTTCTAGTAAAGATAGTCATAAACTTGGAAAACATACATTCTTACTAGAGAACAATCATACAAAATTGTCGAGTCTTGGTAGAAGGCTACTTTTCATTTAAGTAGAAAATATAGGATTTTCTAGAAAGATAGAATCATTTTTACTTTACATATACAAACTTTTTCGTGAAACTAATGCAAACATGTGACACAAAAATACTTATGCACTCACTCAACTTTTATGTTGATACTCTCGTTCAAATTAACTTGTATTAACTTGTCACACCCCCAAATTAACTTTTATGTTGATATTCAAGACTCGCCATTATTTTGTTGATTTCATATTTTGGTGTCTTACAAACTTTACACAAAACACACTTGTATTAACTGTATTATTAATTCAATGGATGATGTTGTTGCTCCTTTTACTGTTCTGCATTGTTATGATTCAGTACATGACGTCCTCCGCCCCTGAATGTTTCCACAGTTCTAGTTTGGGGGTGTGACACTTTTTCTTGAACTTGATAATTATTCAAATCTCCTATAATCTTCGTAATAGTGATGAGATCAGTCAAATTCATCAAGGGAAAGTTAGCAATGGTGAAGTCAAAAAGAACATTATTAGCTCTGTCAACTTTATATCAATAGTTTTGAATGAAACATTCAAACATAACATAAGGAGTTATCGATACAAGTTTAACAATTTTCACCAAATACCAAACTTCTTCTTTCTTTCCAAGAAAAACATGAAATGAAATCTTCATACTTTTGAACTCTTTAGTATCGTGAAAATTCTTAGCAAGCTTCAACTGAGAAAATGTGAACATCGAATGATTAAATGGAAAGTCCAATTGATTAAATTATGAATGTTCGAAGTCAAAGCTTTTCTTTCATCTTTTCTAAAATGCATCAACTTTGTCATAAGCCATAGTCTCAATAGTTTCATAACACCACACCTTATTTGGTTCTCCCTTATAAAGATTAGGTGGGTTATTTGCTCTCATTCTCATAATGTTGGTAAGCAACTTCATTCCTTCAATTTCAAGATCTCGAAGTCTGTTTTTATCATCTTTAGTATGCTCCACTTGTATGCCTTTTCCTTTTCCAATTGGTTATGAAACAGGTTTGACTGTCGAATAACCTGAGCCTCCTTCATTTATGTTCAGTCCCTTCATTGATTGAAGCTTTGAAATGTCAACTTCAATATTAGTAGTTGCTTTTGTTGTCGAAGTTTTCAAAATAGGTTTCATTGGAATTAAAACTGAAATTTGTGTGGAAAACACCTTCCCAACTACTTTTCCCCTGTCTTCACTTACATCTTTCAATGAGCTACCCTTATATCCCCCTTATGACACGAGCCTTGATGGTCATGGAGCATTAGTGGGTAATCAAAGAACAAGATCCAAGATTTGAGCAAGTTTTGTTTTAAAACACGATTCCAATAAAGAAATAACCAAAGCGATTTGCTCCTATGAAATCGTAGTTGTTGATGGAATATTAAACTTCGATATGTGATTATGAAAACCTGTAAGAGAGTTGTCAATTCTTGTAAAAACATTCCCATCAGATACTTACTTTAACTTCCACTATGCAGCATAATCTTCATTAAAAGCATGAATGTCTTCGATTAATGTTCTTGTTGCTCCAAGAAGAACATCAAACATTATGCTAAATTCCCAAACAGAACTTATAATACTTTGTAACTTCTTCTAGGACCAAATCAACCAAATATTTAATCGTTAACTCAATAGAATCTTTCGAAGATTTCATCATCTTCTCAAAAATTTCATGCCACTCCCTAGCAATATTTTGAACTTTTAAAAGATCATACGTATAAGAATTCATGTTGTCAGTCTACCGAGTCTCCAGTTGTGAAACTGCACTAGCAACATGATTCTTCGTCTTCGTTTCTTGACCTTTCAACAAAAACCCAACATCATCTTTACTCACAGAAGACGTTGTAAAATCAAACGAGTCATTGAAGAACAAACAAATCGTATTCAAATTTGAATTGGAGATCTTTTATTGCTTTCTAGACATGATATCATTATCTTCTAGATCTTCTTCTGAATCAAACTCCAACTCATGAAACTCAATATGTTCATCTTCTTCAGAATTCCTTATTTCTTGATCAATGGATTGAGAAAAGAACAACATAATAATAGGTTGTTGCATGATATTGTCAAAGGTATGAGAGTGAATAGGAATTGTTGTAGGTGGAATGATCAAAGATGGTTGTGGTGACAAAGGTGGTGGTAAAGCACCTGATGAGACTAGAAAAAACGTTGAAGGATTCTCACCCATATTAACATTTGAGTCCTTATCAGATAAGTTCTTAGGAGCTTCAGGTGGAATAAGACTTGTCGACTCGGGAATCGAATTCGAAGTTGTTTCACGAGTTATGATGCTTGTATCGACATTATCCGTATGTACACTGACATTCGGGTTGCTTGTCTCCTTGGTATTTGATTCGACAGTGGCTTCCTTTCATGGATAAACATTATATGTAAGATCACCAGTTTCATTAACCTCATCATTTGTGGCTTCTCTATCCTTATCTCCTTCAATAACCTTCTTTATAGGCTTTGTTGTGGTGGAACGCTCTTCAACTGTTTGAGGCCTTAGCATCTTAAATTGCTTTAACAACCCTACAACCTTACATTTCTTGTTTTGTAGTTCCTCCTCATCAATAACTTTTTTAATGAAAACACCTTGAGACTTCGACTTTGATTTCCTCTTTTCCTTAATCACTTTCTTAGCAACACCAATATTATAAGTGAAGTTAGGCTTAGATGGTGCTTTCTTCTTAACAACATATGGATCTGCAGTTGTACCCTCTTTCACATTAAATGTCACCTTATTAGGAAGAGGAACTGAAGAAGTAAAATGTAAATATGTGTTGTATTGAATCAATAAATGGTTTGAATCAGACACAAATAAGAGCATAGAATCTGGAATTCTCTAAATAGAAGGAAATACCATAGGATCATCTATTGCATCCTTAGGAATTTGAAGATGCAAAAACTGAGCAACTTCAACTCCTTCAGGAATCGTAACTCCTGCTTAACTATATACTTCATGTAAAATTAGAAATCTTAGTAGAGTTCTTCTATTTCTTGATGTAAGTTGTGAGCTCGTCCCACCATAACAAATCAGAATAAACTTTCTTTATATAATACAAAGCAACCATGGTAAAATAAAAGTGAAGTTTTGCATTATCAAGTCTAGAACTCCTTCTAGTTAAACAATGAAGAGTAACGCCAAAGAAAAAACATAATTGGTAGATTGGACTTCTTAAAGCTGCTAATAATCGAACTTGGAGGATTATACCCCATTTCATTAAACATATGAAGTACTTGTTTAGATGAAGGAACTTCAAACGAACCCTCCGATGGCAATTATAGAATCTGTGCAAACTGCTTCTTCTAGAATCATTTGTTGCCTTTGGATTCCATCTGAAATGTAACAACTTAGTTCGTCTTGTTGTAAACTGATGTAGAACATGCAAACGATAGCCATTTTATCGTAATTGCAAATGCGGACGTAAAAGCATGAGTAAGGATTGAATCATTTAAACATTGAATAATCATCTTCAACTATTTAGGGTATGCAGATAACCTTGGATTAAACGAAAAGTTGTTTGATTGAATCTTTATATGAGGAACAGAAACCTCATTGTTAGTAGTGTTGAAGTGATCGAAAACAGTATTAGCAGTTGACATGATAAACGAGAAGAGAATTTTAAAGATGATCAGAAAAATATGGTAAGAGTTCTTGCGTGCATTCAGGAGATCAGAAATATTGAATTGAACCGCCGAGCCCTCTTTTATAACTAGTGTTAAATTCAAATTTGAGCCGATACCCAATGAATAATTTCCACGTGTAAAGCAAGTAACTGAAGTGAAGTCATCTTAATCTTCCATAAATACATGTAATGAGTGTTTTTCTTGATCCAAGATAAAGCAACAGTAACATCACTTCACAACGGTCACCTCGATATCACAAATAAAATCAAACAATCACCAAACTTTGATAGTTTTTCTAGGACCAGTCTTCGATATTTAAGGTTGGGCCTCACTCACTTATGGGAATTCTAAGTGGACTCATAAACGAGATTTTGCAAAATCTTTGTATGGGTTGGTAACACCCAAAACCTCAAGGATTTCAGTTCCATTGTGTTCCAAATGAAAAGATAAAAGCAAATTAAGAAACATGTGGATAAAGTGTGATATCAATGAAGCTTTGATATAAAGGTAGTAAGATCCTGGGAAAAGATTCTCTTCTTTCGATATCATGAGAGAAAATTAAGTGCTTGTGTGGTTTTCCATTGTTACACCCCCGATCGAGGCAACAGAACATGCCGAGCTATGCGACTAAGTTCATGGATCACATGTAAACTAAATATATAGCACAAGTACAACAATAAACAAAATAGTATTCGTGTTCCATCTTGATATTTGAATAAAAGGTTCTTGCATATAATAATACTACATGAATTGCCTTAATAGATAGGCATATAATACAGCAACAAGTAAACTAGGCCTCCTGTAATCCAATCTGTCTTGAATGTCTGTTTACTAATTTCCTGATAATACATGTAGTTTTGAGGGTCAACGCAAGGTTAGTGAGTGTTACAGGTTTTCGGCTAACAGCAGTATTACTTTTAAAAGTCCAAAAAGTATTTTCTTTGTAAGTATAACAATACTTAAAATTTTGCTTTTAAAAAAGCCTTTGAAAGCCAAAATATATCTTTGTATAAGTAAATCCATACTTAAACTATGTTTGTAATCAATCCTTGAAATCCAAAATGTATCTTTGTATAAGTAAATCCATATTTAAAAATGTGTTAGTAAAGAATCCTTGAATATACTTGGAAACCAAACTGTACTGTTACATAAGTAATTCCATACTTAAAATAGTTTTGAAAGCAACCCATCCCATGGATTGTAGAGTGTGAGAGAGAGATTCCAGTTAATTTTTATAGTGAGTCCTAACACGAGCTATGTGACTGAATGTACCCCAATCAACGCTTCATTGGACGTGGTAGTAACAATTGTAGACACTTATCACCCGTTGCGATTGATCGGCCGAGGTTGTAGCTAGCAACCGCAAGTGGGGATGTCAACCCAGTATAGATCTATACATATGTATCTCGCTCCGAAGATTAACAGTTATAGTAGTGTGGGTATGGTAAGTGTTTAGACTCAGCTAATTAATACAGTCTCACTAAAAAGCCCTTAACCAAAGTATGTGAATAGCTCTCAACCCTAACTTAATTGTGATTAAGTCACCAGGAATAATGAATTTCAATGTATAAATTTTATAAAAGCCGAGTATGCTTGGTATGTATGTAAAAGTGTAATGTACTCACTTTTATAAAGATGTATGTTTTGAAGTAATAAACATATATACATGTTTAAACGTTGTGTATTTAAACATATAAATAATAGTAATAGTTTGAATCCTTAAAATACTACGAAGTTTTATGACGTGCTTTTTATTGTATACAATGCCACATAAAAATCATATATTTTTGTATCATGTAGCATTTATTGTGTGGACTGTTTATTTCATGATAAAATAATCATAATACGTATATGAAAAGTTTATACTAGTTTATTTGTAACAAGATGTTAAATCGTTAAATAACATTTTTATAAACTAGATTTATTGTATTTTTGCATAACGGATAAAATAATTGTATAAAAAAGTATAAAGGCACATTTATTCCACCCCCCTCCCCGAAATAATTAATAGTATTAAAAAGGGGCCGTAAGCACTCACCCTTGAAGCGCGAGTTCGAGTTGTTCGGAGTTCATTTATTTTTTGGAAGATTGACGTGAAAAACTGCAAAGTCACATTTCTTGAACGTTGAAATACTTTCGAGACCGTTTTGTAACGAATTTAAAATATTGAGGGTTGCTTGGTAATTTAACTAACTAAAGTAGGACTGATTTCGTTAAAATAAATCAATGGAGGGACTGAAATGGTTTAAATGGAATTAATGTTTGAGTCTTGGACTGATTTTGTTAAGATATCTCCATAGGGGCTGTTTTGTTTTAAATATACCAATGTTTGGGAAAAAGGGATTATTTGAAATGATTGTTTAGCAGGGGGTTATTTGGTCATTACTTCTAAGTTAAAAGGATTCTAGGGCTTTTATGCCCCCGTGTTTTCATTTGATCGGTTCAAGAAGGGACGAACGAAAGCATCATCAGTAGGCAAGAATGAAGCACGAAGGAAGATGAACGAAGGTGTGGGAAGGGAGCACGAAGGCACGCAGACCGCTAATACGGGCTTCTTGGTCGGATGCGAAGAGGGAGGCGTCTCCGTGTGACAACCGTCAAATTAAAAGTCAAAGTCAACAATGTCAAATCGGTCAAACTTAACTAGTACTTGTATGTTAAAATTTATTCTATGTATAAAAATGTGCATTTGTATGTCAAGAATTCAAATGTCTCGGAGAATCTATGTGTTTATCAGTGTAAAACCCTAAAAAGGGAGTTAAATGCATCAAAACACGACTATGGACCCTTTTGGGGACTTAAAACAATCATAAACGAAGCATAACAGGATTCACGAACCTTGCATTGCAAGATTATACGATAATAATGGCTAAAATGAAATCTCTCCCAAATCTCTCCAAATATGTGAAATCTCTCCCAAATCTCTCCAAGTATGTGAAATCTCTCCCAAATCTCTCCAAGTATATGAAATCTCTCCAAGTATGTGAAATCTCTCCAAATATGTGAAATCTCTCCCAAATCTCTCCAAGTATGTGAAATCTCTCCTAAATCTCTCCAAGTATGTGAAATCTCTCCAAATATGTGAAATCTCTCCTAAATCTCTCCAAGTATGTGAAATCTCTCCCAAATCTCTCCAAGTATGTGAAATCTCTCCAAAATCTCTCCAAGTATCTGAAATCTCTCCAAATATGTGAAATCTCTCCCAAATCTCTCCAAGTATGGGAAATCTCTCCCAAATCTCTCCCAAAATCTCTCTCAACTTTTTATAGTCATCCCGACCCTTAACTTGGCCAAAAACCGCTTGAAATAGAGAGTTATATCGAAAAACAGCTAATTAGGGCCGAAGCCCTTCTTAGGAACCGAACCTCTTAGGAACCGAACCTCTTAGGAGCCGAATCCTCCTATTAGAGCCGAAGATGTCAGAACCGAAGTGTCAGAAGCAAACAGCCTTCTCGGACCGAACTAGGCATGCATGACCGAAGCCTCCCTACAACCGAAATAGGCCGAACCCTCGGTCCATTTCGGTTCCATACCCATTTCGGACCGAACCTCCACCTTCGGTCCCTCCTCTCGCACCTTCGGTCCCTTCTCCCTTCTCTCGGTTCCTTCTCCCCTCTTCTCGGTTCTCACCTTCTAGGAGCCGAACCTCACATGTTCGCTCCATAATGCCCGGTTTTCGACTACTTTCGCTTCCTAAGCCCGTTTTTGACGTTTCTGACGGGATTTTTTTTTCACCAAATTCATATTTTTACCATTTTTAACCCCCAAAACTCATATTTTATTTATTTTTCAAGGATTATTAATTAAAAATCATTATTTTAATATAAGAGGAGTATTCTACCCCACAAGTGGGTCAAGTGTGCCCACTTGCCTCCATGTGTCATCCTCTCATTAGCCCAACCTTATCCACATCACACAAACCAAGGTAAACATCATTTCAACTTGCAAATTGCTCCAGGAACCTTCACTATATAAAGAAATCCCTGGAGGATTTCTTGGTTTACCATGATCATTTCAAACTTACACACTTCTTAACCCCTCAAGAAAGCTCCTTTTCTCTCTACTTCCCACCACTTTGTGCTAGTGTTCTTGAGCTACTACTTCACTTTTTGGTAAGTATTCCATCTAAACTCAAGTGTTATTCCATGTTTCCATAACATCCTTGAATCTTCTACACACATTTTAACACCAAAGAATCGTTCTTAGGATCATCCAAGCTTTCACGTGTTCATCAAGTGTTCTTGACTTGATACTCCTCGTCTCCGACCTTCCACTCTTCAAGAAATCACTCAAGGTGAGTTCATACCCCTACATTTTCCAGTTTTCTTTAGTTTTCAGGGGGCGGGGAATACAAGTTAAAACACCAAAACATATTTAAAACTTAACTTGACAGCTTACAATAGAAATGTTGTGACCTGTTCACGAACTGTTTTACCCAACTTAAACTTAATATCTTTCAAAACTGTTTAATATGAAAATAGTTCAGGTTCATACCTTTAAAATGACTACTTGCACATCTTCATACGATTTTTCTAAAATTTGTGGTGATTTTTAGAAAACTGCCTAACATTTCAGAAACAAATTCGGACCAGTCTGTGAATATGAACCTTTTCACACAAGTTAGAGACTTCTAAAAATCATAATAAAAAATATGAATAAACTAGACACATTTTATAAACTCTCAGAGTTTATGGATTTAGTTTTCGACTTCGTATGATTTTTCTATGATGTTTTCAAAACAGTGCAGAAAGGTTAAAAACTAGCTACATAGCTTACCATATTAACAACACTTTGTAGTATGTTGAGCAAAGTGCATAACACTAAGTTCCTAAATGTTGAATGTATTTCTTGTTAGTTTACCATCATAAACAAAAAATTAGTCATTCATGTTAAGGTTTTTCCTCCACTCATTTCGAACACATATAATAAACTACAATAAGTATAGTTTATGAATTTTCGATAAAAGCATACTACAT